GAAAGAAAGAAAGAAAGAAAGAAAGAAAGAAAGAAAGAACATAAATCTTAGGTCTGAACCACATGATTATTCTGTCGGTATGAAAAGTTCTTTCTAACAGATATGAGTTCTGACAGCAAATGTTGACCTGATTTCATTAGCTAGTAACATATTTCAGGTACAATCTATAAATGTTTCTCAGAGTACTGTTGATACACAAGTAGCTTTGTATGGTGTCTGTCCAAATGAATTTACATACCTTTGGCATGCTGATAACTAAATGTCCAGTTGTCTGAGATCTTTTAGCAGAGCTGCTATCTGGCTTCACCTCTGCAGGAAGCACAAGTTGAAATGGCTAAAGGAAAATAGGATAGAATATATCGTATTAAAATATTTTTTTACCCAGATAGAAAACATACGGAAATTCCATTAACATATACTTTGATCTGAAGGGTAGGATAGGTCTGAATGCTCTCATGTAATATATATTAATACTAATCCAAATAACTGATCTGCATGTTAAACAACCTTCATTTACATTATATGTGTGTGTGTAATATATATAATATGCTTGCCTGAATTGCTGCAATAGAAAAGTGACACTTTTAAAGAAAGATATGAAATGATGTTTGAGTTATACTAGCAATGAAATGAGAAAGACTAACAATCTATTTCAGAGAAAGTAATTTTGAAATTTGTGCTTATGCAATTGGTACAATTATAAGTAGGGATTCTGGTTTTCAATTTAAATTGAAAAACAAACAAAAAAATCACCAAAAATGACAGAAAATGGAAGGTTTCTTAAAAGGGGCTTTCAGCTGAATATACATCCAGTTCTCTCTGTCCTCTGTAAATTACAGATTGTAGGTCTAATTCTAGTCTCACTTTACTTGGTATAAACAAGCAGTATCTCTACTGAAGTGAAGTTACTGTGGTGTAAAAAAGTTGTGAGGAGAATCCAGTATATTTCACTGTCCATACCTCCCCAGTTCACTTCTTGGTCACAAATAGTATCAGTGTGGTAAGTGGCTTTTTTCTGTGTGGTTACACACCACTTGGAGTAATACATTTAAAAAAGGGTTTGTGAGTACTTTTGAACTTTTATGTTGATTTCCTAACCTAATGACACTATTGATTTCTATTCAGACTTATGTGGTTACCAATCAGTTAGACCTATGCCTTTATTTTTATTTTTTTTGGTGTGAAGTTACAAGCCAGTAAGGCCCAAATCCTCAAAGGTATTTAGGTGCCTAAGTTACAGTGAAATTAACTGATTGGTTTCAATGGGAGTTAGGCACCTAAATACCTTTGAGGATCTGAGTGTCCATTGAATTCAATGGCAAGATTCCAATTAACTTTACCAAGCACTGGATCAGTTCCTAAGAGTCTAGTCTTGCTTCTATTGATCTAAGTAAGAGCTTTGCCGTGATTTCAATGGGAAAAGATTTAGGCCCTACAGTAGCCAAAAGTAAACCCAGAAAATGAGTAACAACAGACATGAAAAGTGGAATTCTCAGTTTTAAATGAAAGTAATAAGAAAATACGAACCTTATCCTTCACCATTACGCGGAGGTAAGTTGGCTGGACATCAACATCAATTAGAGAGCTGTCCAGATGTCTTCAGAATTAAATAAAAGTGAATTTAGTTTAAGTAAGTTAACATCATCGTTCAGGGGAAAGCAGTTAAGACTATGCAACTCATTAATTATGGGTTTGCAATTTGAAAAAATTCCATTTGATTACTCTAATGTAATTAAGTTATGTGATAGAATTAGGGCTGTCAAGCAATTAAAAAAATTAATCGTGATTAATTGCGCGATTAAAAAATTAAGCACGATTAATCGCACGATTAATCACTCTGTTAAACAATAATAGATTACCATTTATTTAAATATTTTTGGATGTTTTCTACATTTTCAAATGTGTTGATTTCAATTACAACACAGAATACAAGGTGTACAGTGCTCACTTTATATTTATTTTTTATTACAAATATTTGCATTATAAAAAAGAAAAAAATAGTATTTTTCAATTTACCTAATACAAGTACAGTACTGCAATCGCTTTATCATGAAAGTTGAACTTACAAATGTAGAATTATGTACAAAAAAAACCTGCATTCAAAAATAAACCAATGTAAAACTTTAGAGCCTACAAGTCCACTCAGTCCTACTTCTTGTTCAACCAATCGCTCAGACAAACAAGTTTGTTTACATTTGCAGGAGATAACGCTGCCTGCTTCTTATTTACAGTGTCACCTGAAAGTGAGAACAGGCATTCACATTAAATTGTGCCGGCGTCACAAGATATTTACGTGCCAGATGCGCTAAAGATTCGTATGTCCCTTCATAACTCAACCACCATTTCAGAGGACATGCGTCCATGCTGACGACGGGTTCTGCTCGATAATGATCCAAAGCAGTGCGGACCGACGCATGTTCATTTTCATCATCTGAATCAGATGCCATCAGCAGAAGGTTGATTTTTTTCTTATTTGGTGGTTTGGGTTCTGTAATTTCCACATCGGAGTGTTGCTCTTTTAAGACTTCTGAAAGCATGCTCCACACCTCATCCCTCTCAGATTTTGGAAGGCACTTCAGATTCTTAAACCTTGGGTTGAATGCTGTAGCTATCTTTAGAAATCTCACATTGGTACCTTCTTTGCATTTTGTCAAATCTGCAGTGAAAATGTTCTTAAATTGAACAACATGTGCTGGGTCGTCATCTGAGGCTGCCATAACATAAAATATATGGTAGAATGCAGGTAAAACAGAACAGGAGACATACAATTCTCTCCCAAGGAGTTCAGTCACAAATTTAATTAACGCATTTTTTTTTAACGAGCATCATCAGCATGGAAGCATGTCCTCTGGAACAACGGCCAAAGCATGAAGAGGTATATGAATCGTTAGCGCATCTGGCATGTAAATATCTTGCGACACGAACTACAACAGTGCCATGCGAACACCCGTTCTCATTTTCAGGTGACATTGTAAATAAGAAGCGGGCAGCGTTATCTCCCGTAAATGTAAACAAACTTGTTTATCTAAGCGATTGGCTGACCAAGAAGTAGGACTGAGTGGATTTGTAGGCTCTAAAGTTTTACATTCTTTTGTTTTTGAGTTCAGTTATGTAACAAAAAAATCTACATTTGTAAGTTGCACTTTCACGATAGAGATTGCACTACAGTACTTGTATGAGGTGAATTGAAAAATACTATTTCTTTTGTTTATAATTTTTACAGTGCAAATATTTTAATAAAAATAATAATATAAAGTGAGCACTATATATTTTGTATTCTATGTTGTAAATTGAAATCAAATATTTGAAAATGTAGAAAAACATCCAAAATATTTAATAACTTTCAATTGGTATTCTATTGTTTAAAAGTGTGATTAAAACTGCGATTAATCATGATTAATTTTTAATTGTAATTAATTTATTTGAGTTAAGCGCATGAGTTAACTGCGATTAATCAACAGCCCTAGAGAGAATCTTAGAACTTAAGCTCTTCAGGACTGGGACTGTGTTTTTACAGTGGCCAGCACAATGGGGCCCAGATTACTATTTAGACATTGGATTGTTATAGCAATACAAATAATAAACAATAATTGTTCTAATGAGACAATTCAATGAAAGTGTGCTATTATCAACAGGACGAAAAACTGACCCCCCATTTGGTAAGGCAACTCCCATCTTTTCATGTACTGTTATATATATCTTCCTACTGTATTTTCCAGTCCATGCATCTGATGAAGTGGGTTTTAGCCCACGAAAGCTTACGCCCAAATAAATTTGTTAGTCTCTAAGGTGCCATAAGTACTACTCATTGTTTTTGCTGATACAGACTAACACGGCTACCACTCTGAAACCTGTCACCATGCAAGGTTAATATAATTATCCCCATTTTACAGATTGGGAAACTGAGGCACTGGGAAGTGAAGTGACTTGCCCAAAGTCACCTAGCAAGCCAATGGCCAAGCTCACAATACAGCCCAGATCTCTCAAGTCCCAGTCTAGTGTTCTATCCACTAGGCTACACTGACTCCCATATGAAGAATAACTTTTTACATTCCGTTTTCAGGAACTCAATGGACTGTAATCGCCTACACCAACACTAGAGACAGCATTTTTGTATTTCAATATTGTTGAATAAGGTTTGTAAGCTGTAAAGAATCCACTTTGATTAACGTCTGCTATTGACTGAGCAATCTATACACTCTTCAGCCCATCACTGAAGGTACAATGTATCACTTTCTCTTCTTCCTTCTTTTATAACTTCTTTACTACTTGGCTAACTTTTTCAAATTTTGTGATGTTTGCAATCCTCACTGAAGAGCATATACTATTACATACCAGCTTCAAAGTCTTATTGTCGTCAACACTTGAACAGCGTTTCCACAGCTTAAAACAAAGTCGTATTCTGATAACTCAGAAATACCAGAGTATAAGGGGAAAAAGTCCTCCAACACAACAAGAGTGTTTTATAGAGTCCAAGGCCAGGAGGGACCATTGTGATCATCTGATCATTTAGTCTGACCTCCTATATAACACAGGCTATAGAACTTCCTCAAAATAATTCCTAGAGCATATCTTTGTCCATGTTATATAAGCAATAACTGCACAAGCTTTACTCTACCAGGGGCTCACATGGATCGAAATTCTTCCACTGCAGTGCAGAGGGTAGCGATCATGAATAGAAGAGCTAAAGAGTGGGGGTTTTGCGGGGCGGGAGGGAGGAGTGAGGAAGGCAGCGGGGATTTTGCATAACTCTAAATAGGTTGGTGCTGAAGGAACCCCTGTTGTGGACTCAGGAAAGGACCACTGGAACTGTGCTTACATGGATCCAACAATAAAGAACGCCTATAAAAGGAGCATACAGGACAATGGCTATTCAAGATATGAAGGACCCCACCACCTGCCCACAGGTTTGGGGGTGGATTCTATTCCTTCCATTCCCCCCATGCTTTGTTCCCTTCACAAAGTCCCAGTGTGTGGGGAAGGGTGATTTTGAATACTGCATATCAGTGTATGACAGCAATGACAATTGCTCCCAAACATCATCATAATAAATAATTCTGACCTATAAACAGCAAGATCCAGGATGAACTGGTTGTTTTCTTCATCATCTTTCAAAAAGAAATGAAGTCTAGTAACAATGATAAAAAAAACACCTTCAGAATAAATACAACTAATTTGTGTGAGCATACAGTTCCATAACTTTACATTCAACAGCTAGCATTTTTTAGATTAATACCAACATAATTTAGAAGATACTTCATATGGTCTTTTTAGAATCATCTATAGCTTCACTACATGAATGTTTGAACTGGGTTCTGTTTTATTTTTCAGGTTGTTTTTTTTTCTTCTTAACTGAAAACCTAATTAAAAGTAGAGTACAAGGTCAGTTTCATTAAAATCCAGGAACAGAGACATTTGCTGGTGAAAACTTTTCTAGTGTAGAAAATGTGGATATATCTGTGGCTTTATCTACACTATGAGCTAGGAGTGTAATTCCTCTGCGCCTGTACACATGCTTGCACTAACTCGATGGCAGTGTAGCCACAGTGGCATGGGTAGTGGCAGCAGAGGCATGGCTTAGGGTGCTGAGCACAAACCCACGTGAAACTGTTGGGTACGTACATGGCACAACTAAGCTGTGCCTTTGCTGCCACTAGCCATGCTACGATGGCTATGCTGCTATTTAGACTCACGCTAGCTCAGATACACTGGCTTTCAGGTAATTGATGGGAAAAATTCAGCTCTTAAAAGTTTTAATAAATGGGTCTCTCAACTATAAAATGTATGTGCCCGTAATATTTGTTACCTTTTAGTCCTCTCTATTTCAATACGGTCAGACTGAGGAGGCTTTATGCCGCAGTGAGCTGTCTAGATTAGGAGTGTTTTTGAAGGGAAGGTGCAGAGAAAAAGACTACAAAAGAATGATTCCAAATCTCCATGCCTTTTTTCCCATGAGCACTAGAGCTATTTCCAGGTCTCTTTCCTATAAGGCAGATTCCCCCAACACATGGAGAGCTGAAAAAGGAAGTGCAACATTCTCTTGATAGCAGCCTATCTAGCAAAGAAACATCCTTCCTTTCTATGCAGGATGTAGCTATTTTTCTGGTAGATATTCAAAGACAACACTGAGAGAAGTCTGACTTTGCTTTACTAGGCTTCTGCAATGCAATGCAGAAGCCATGCTGGGGAGGGAATGTGCATTCCAAGTGCCTTGCTGTGAATGTATCTCCTATGTTCTTTTTTGGGTACCATTCACTACCAGGGGTGCAATGAGCACCGGAACTGTCACAGGCCCTGGTGTAGACCATGCAATATGGGGGTGGAAGCTCTTTGTGTGCTTCCCACACATCTGTGCAACTGCCTATCATAATCTGGCCCTATATACGTAAATCCACTGAATAAATTCCAGTGCAGAAGACCTGTATGAATAGTACACCACTAGTAACTATTGACAACGCAAAACTCTGGGGCAACATTATTTCTAAAGGAATAGTGCTAGAGCTTTATTCTAAATGTCTGTACCTCTCAGAACCATAATTCAGTACTGTCAACACAAATTTTTAAGCTATTATAGACTTGTCTTTGCACAGAAAATTACTCTTTTTTTGTATTGCTGTCAACACATTTTTATAACAAAGTGGAGACATCAATACAAGGGTGAGCTTCTTCTGATATACTTGGAATAAACACCAATACTTCTGCCACTGCTATTCATTCCATTCATACCACTCAAAATTAAAATGCCAGTTTCCAAATCCCTTAAATGTGCATGGCTTTAGATTGTCCTTCCAAAGATGTAACAACATTCTCTCCATACTAATCATCAAAAGCTATGTTAGCTTTGCTTTTTGCAGCTGACCTGGTCTTAGGAAAAGACAAAGTGTCATTCACCCCCAACATGGGAAAAACTTGTCTAGGGGGTCAGGAAATATCCTGAGGTTCCCTTCATGGGGCTTCTTCATTCCCTCCAGAGAAGAGGAGAAAGAGATGGGAGCTGCTGGGGACAAAGGCAATCTGTAGGGAACCTCTGTGCCGCCACTCTATTTCCTACCCCTCTCCCAATGAAAAGGCAGCACAGCTCCAATGGAACCAGGCTGCAGTTGGCTCCCCACCTAGCTGATGCTTCTGGAAACATCTTCCAGAAAAGTTTCAATATCACATAATAACTATGTCAGCAATAAAATGTAGGTGAGTTTTCCCCCAGCTCCACTCTCTCCCCTGCTACTGAACCTGATTCTAATAGAGGGGCTTCCATCGCCCAGATTTGACAGGTTTCCATCCCACCTACAAGTGGAGGCAATGATTTGGTCCAGAAACATTACTCTGATGTATTTTTTCTACATTTAAAGTGCCTGTTCATACAATTACCTTCAATGGTCAAACATAATTAACCTGTTTCCACAAAAGGCAAGATCCCTACACCTTAGAAGGGAAAATAGTAAAATACCTGATATCTTTATAGATAAATAGTTCTTTAAATGTTAAAGAGCAAGTGGCTAAATATTTTTGAACTGATTGATAATTCATTAGTTCCCTAACTTCAGGATATTGCTATAATTAACCTTGCATCCTCAACAGAACCAAAATATTACACTGGATTTTAGGATTTGTCAGACCTGTTACATTATCACATATCTTCAGTTACACAGTCAACCCTATTATAAAAAGCAAAGTACTAGTTCACTCATTTAAAGTTATTATTTTTCCTCACATACTTTGGTTCATTCATATTCAGAACTTTTCCTTCTGCAGTGATCAAAGTCCTAGGTGGCTTCTCTTTCACTTTTTGCCCTCTTTAATTAAAAAAAAGAGAGAAAGAAAAGGAAACAAAGGTTTATTATCACATTCTTATCCTTTTGTGAAGCAGCAAAGAAAGAATGAAGAGAAACATGGCAGCAAGTTCAATGTGATCTAGTTTTTTATTTTAAAATTACAAGCTCCTCTAGTAACAATACACGTTATACAATGTGTCTTTTGCCCTAGAAAAGTTATTTTAATCTGCCAGTAAAGGTGAGCAAATAATTTTCAGCAAACATGTTCTTTATTCATCAAGCTTAACTTCTTTTTCTTTTCACAGAATATCTGTGAGCAGATTACAATTTCCTCAGATTTGTCTGTGTATATTTATTTTTCCCAAAAACTTAGTTAATGGATTGATCTCAAATATTTGAAATGTAAGGTGCGCTGCTAGTTATGATTTTTCACATAGATCATGCAGTCTCATTACTATTATCTGCAGGCATTTCTGATGCAAATAGTAGTGCGTGTGAATTTAAAATTGGTTTCCCCAAATACTTATGCATGAACCTTTGAAATATGCTTCCTGGGAACATTTTGTGCTAGTCATACTTGACTACTCAAATGTTTGCAGGAAGTAAACATAAAAAGGGAATGAGTATGACCAAAGTGAATCCATGTAAATATTTGAACAATTATCTGGTGTTTGTGTGTGGGTTTGGGGTTTTTTTTTGGCACATCTTTACTGTTCTCCTCTTCCTTCAAAGTTATCATAAGACATATCTACGATAAAATCGGGGTTACCTACAACCTTCCCTTCCCAATCCCACCTACCAGTAGTGAAATTGTACCTAGCCTTTTGATTAGTGCAATGAACAAGCCACCCTTTCAGTACTTTTGACCAAACCAATTCATCCTAAAAGAGTCTAGATCTCCATCATTAGTATTTTGCTTGATAATTTAAGATGCCTACATATTTAATGGTTATTTTTGTTGCTTTCAGCTAGAAATCTTAGTGATACAACAGGTAAGAATTTGATTCTCGCTCATGGAAAAAATCTAACTAGATTTTCTTTAAAAGTATCATGTTGCAAATATCACATTCTTTCTTAGTCCACAACTTGTTGATATTCACCTAGTTGATGTGGTTTATGTATAAAATGTAACGAATTAGTAAAAATCCAAAAGAAAATAGGAAATTGTTTAAACTGCTTCGAGATACCTTGAAGTCACGATATCCCCCAATACTCCCTGGCTACGAGAATCTCCCCTCACAGTGTATATATGAGTGACTCTAGCCACTAGTGAAATGAAACATGACATTAGTTTAGGACAGGAAGGATTCATCATTTCATTGAAATTCCATGAGAAATTAAGAAAGGAAGAATATAATTATTCAAACTGGAATTTGGACTAGACACTGGAGTTAATACTCAAAAATGCCACTGGATTTTTAATGAGAAGTGGTCAGAACTTATTACTTCTCATCCAAAAGACTTAAAGCACCAGAAGAGTGCTTCTAACACTATCCTGGGGCATTGATTTAATATTAGCACAGTAGGAAAAGTATTACCTAATGAACATCAACACCACTTTCTACAGAATCTAAATTTTCCTGGGAGATCTCCCTAGTACTGACTAAACCCAACCATCTTTAGAGTTTTAGATGTGACGGCATCATAACCCAACATAGCATAGTTTCAAGTCTTAAATAAGTGATTATGATATCTTTCAATGAATATTAGTGTAAATACTGTAGCTGACATTTTCAAACCTGGATGCCTAAAGTTAGATTCCTAAATCTATATACAGACACCTAAATAAGTGGCCCAATTTTCAGAACAGCTGAGCACCCACAAGCCCCATGGAAATCATGGGGAGCTAAAGGTGCTCAGCTCATTTGAGAAGCAGGTCACTTTTGTTCAGGTACCTAAATATAAATTTAGGACCCTAACTTTGGGCACCCACCATTTTTGAAAATATCGGCCTATAGCTATAAAATAAATCTAGTAAAATATCTATGCATTGGTTTCAGGTTATGTGGAGTTCCAGTGGCATCCTAAAAAACAAACAAACAAAAACTTAGATGACTTTTCACGGATCATGCATTAAGATTGTTCTCCTGACCCAAACAGCACATACAACATGCAGGATCTTGTTACTCGAGAACCAGTTTTCATGGTGAGACGTGCATGGAATTTTGTAAGTCATATGGAAAAGATACATGAAGTGCTCCTTCTGCAAAAATTCTGTAGAATGCTGTTGCACACCCTCATAGTAAATGCTTTTAATAGCAGAAGTAAGCACTCAAGTGCAATGAAGATAGTATTTAGATGACTGAACACTGAACTTTTTAAAAACATAAACTGGGGCTGAATATAGAAACAACCAATTAAAATAAAAAAACTATTTGGAGAAAAACAGTATCAGGTATCATGAATAATACAAAGAAACAAAAGTGAACAATGCACAGAGTAGACAGCATTTCATTTTGGTACAAGTGGGAATTAAGCACCCAACTCTCACTGGACTTTCAATGGGATTTGGGTGACTATCTGGACTTTATACCTTTGAAAATCTACCCCTTACCCAATTTAGGGCTTATGTAAAAACCAAGATACCTTATATTTTCTTTAACTCTCCGTTTTTCTTCAAGATGTCTGTGAGCTTCTAATCTAGACTCTGGAGTATAAGGTGTGGGCTCCTCCCAAAAAGCTCTGTCCTCTTCATCATCTTTATCTATTTTCCATTCTTGGTATTCCTTTTCTGTTTCTTTCTGCTGGTGGTTTTCTTTGTCTTCTAGAGGATCTGGGCTAGAGAAGAGTACACAGAATGGTATTCCTTGAAATGTGGAAAGAGTAGCAGTGCTTGGCAATGGATCCTGCAGCAATTTTGTCCTCACACCAATTTATATAGTAGTATAATTAATTATCACCGAATCATAGAATATCAGGGTTGGAAGGGACCTCAGGAGGTCATCTAGTCCAACTCCCTGCTCAAAGCAGGACCAATCCCCAACTAAATCATCCCAGCCAGGGCTTTGTCAAGCCTGACCTTAAAAACCTCTAAGGAAGGAGATTCCACCACCTTCCTAGGTAATCCATTCCAGTGCTTCACCATCCTCCTAGTGAAAAAGTTTTTCCTAATATCCAACCTAAATCTCCCCCGCTGCAACTTGAGACCATTACTCTTTGTTCTGTTATCTGCTACCACTGAGAACAGTCTAGATCCATCCTCTTTGGAACCCCTTTCAGGTAGTTGAAAGCAGCTATCAAATCCCGCCTCATTCTTCTCTTCTGCAGACTAAATAATCTCAGTTCCCTCAGCCTCTCCTCATAAGTCATGTGCTCCAGCCCCCTAATCATTTTTGTTGTCCTCCGCTGGACTCTTTCCAATTTTTCCACATCCATCTTGTAGTGTGGGGCCCAAAACTGGACACGGTACTCCAGATGAGGCTCACCAATGCCGAACAAAGGGGAATGATCACATCCCTCGATCTGCTGGCAATGCTCCTACTTATACAGCCCAAAATGCCGTTAGCCTTCTTGGAAACAAGTGCACACTGTTGACTCATATCCAGCTTCTTGTCCACTGTAACCCCTGGGTCCTTTTCTGCAGAATTCGGTCCCCATTCTGTAGCAGTGCATAGGATTCTTCCGTCCTTGTTCTTGTTGAACCTCATCAGATTTCTTTTGGCCCAATCCTCTAATTTGTCTAGGTCCCTCTGTATCCTATCCCTACCCTCCAGCATATCTACCACTTCTCCCAGTTTAGTGTCATCTACAAACTTGCTGAGGGTGCAATCCACACCATCCGCCAGATGAAGATACTGAACAAAACTGGCCCCAGGACCGACCCTTGGGGCATTCCGCTTGATACTGGCTGCCAACTAGACATGGAGCCATTGATCACTACTCATTGAGCCCGATGATCTAGCCAGCTTTCTATTCACCTTATAGTCCATTCATCCAGCCCATACGTCTTAACTTGCTGGCAAGAATACTGTGGGAGACCATCTCAAAAGCTTTGCTAAAGTCAAGGAGTAACACGTCCACTGCTTTCCCCTCATCCAAAGAGCCAGTTACTCTACCAATACCAGAATATTCCATAAGACTCAGGGTAGCTTACCTAACTGTTCTGTTTCATTTACATTTCTTGTTAATTTTCTTTGAAGTACCATGACTCAAAAATGGCAATATATAGTTCCATCTTGCCATCTTGACTTTTGCCCATGACTACACAGCAAGTCTATGGCAGACCAAGGAATAAAACACAGCTTTCCTAACATACAGTCCTGTGCTTAAACCATTAGATCTTCAGATTTCCTTCAATTCTTCTGCATGACAATGCCAACATATGCACAGATACCGATTAAGTCAAAGACAAACATCAGACAACTATAAGCACCCTATATTGCATTAGTAATTCATTGGATGTGTGTTGTTGACTGATTTCTTGGATGAGAATCAATGACTCACTAGCCTGAACCATATCAATCTTCTAACCCTAATTACATCAGATAGCTACAAAGGTGATATTACAGCAAAGATAACCTTGGAGGAGCATAATTCTTCAGTACAAAAAAAAAGCAGAGAACTTTAACAAAGTGCTAAAACAATAGAATAGCTCAAAAGAAAGAATGAAGAGCAGGAAATTTCCATTGGGAATGCAAATCCTCAGCTAGAATATGTTTCGTTCATCAAGAAAGAAGTGGTCACCCAGATTCCACATTCACCTTATAAAAACCTAGATAGCCTACTAATGACAGTTGTCTGAGGAGAGGGGTGAGAAGTACAGGAACTCCTCACTTAAAGTCGTCCCGGTTAACCTTGTTTCGATGTTAAGTTGCTGATCAATTAGGGAACATGCTCATTTAAAGTTGTGAAATGCTCCCTTCTAACGTCATTTGGCAGCCGCCTGTTTTGTCCACTGTTTGCAGGAAGAGCAGCCTTTGCAGCTAGCTGGTGGGTGGTTGGAACCAGGGTGGACCAGCAGCCCCCCTATCAGCTCCCCACTCCCCTAAATTCCCTGTGCAGCAGCTGTCCCTCCCCCTGCTGCCATGTGCTGCTCCTGCCCTCTGCCTTGGAGCTGCTCCCAGAGACTCCTGCTTGCTGTAAGGGGGAAGGGGGGCTAATGTCAGGGTGTCTCTCCCTCCCCCCTGCTCCTGCACCCCGCTTACCCCATCTTCCATAGAGCAGGGGGGACACACGACGGAGGGAGGGAGCTTCTAGGTAGTAGCTGCCCTCTCAGGTCTCAGCAAGCTGATTTAATTAAAAGGGTCAGCTTCTTAAAGGGGAAATGCGCATTTTTTCTCTCACACACAGCGTGTGTGTCTCTGTCTGCCCTCCCTCCTTTCCTGCTGCCTTGTAGAGTGTTGTGAGAGTTAACCCTTGAGGGCTCAGTCAATTGCTAGTTCATTTAGCAGTAAGGCATTTCCTGGGAAATATCCCACCCTCTGACTCCTCCACCTCAACCAAGTTTCACAATCATCATCACTGTGTACCAGTATTAAATTGTTTGTTTAAAACTTATACTGCGTGTGTGTGAAGATAGATAGATAGATAGTCTTTTGTCTGGTGAAAAAATTTCCCTGGAACCTAACCCCCTCATTTACATTAATTCTTATGGGGAAATTGGATTTGCTTAACATTGTTTCACTTAAAGTCGCATTTTTCAGGAACATAACTACAACGTTAAGTGAGGAGTTCCTGTATGTGTAAATATATGAAGAAAAGGTGTTTGTTAAGTGTGAGAGAAAGATAATGAGACACATGAGACAACAGACGAGACACATGAGAAGACTCAGGATAATGTTAAGAAAATGAAGGGGGGGGGAACTGTGAATAAAAACAATATGAAGAAATAGGAATATTGTATGAGACAGGAAGTGTTCTTGGAGAGCAAATACTTGCAAAATGAAGCCATTACTGAATGGCAACTGTAGCCAAGCAATCTATTATGGCTTTAGCAGTGATAATCTTCTCTAGAGCTTAAACCACTATAACTTTCAGGACTTTTGGATCTATGAGAGGTGAACATTGAAGTTTTGACTGAATTAGCATTTATAAGCCCAAATTTCCATAATACTGTCTCCGTGGAACAAAAGATACTACATTACTATCCATAGACAAGATGAATGGCAACTGGACTGCAAACATTCTTTTATAATGTTTCTCACTCTAAACAGGCTTTCCACCATCTGGATCCAGTGCAAATAATTTTAGAGCCACAAAGTAGACTGGGTTCAGGAAACAAAAATCTACAGTGTTTCCCAATCAAAAGATCCCCAAATCCTCTGTTCTGTTCTCTGATCAATTCTGCTCTCCTAATGTGAGGATCAATGCATGAAGAGGGTAGATAGACTATTAGTGGTGAGATCAGCAATGAAGACAAACGTACACAATTTTAAAAGCAGAATGTAAAAAAGTAATGTACCAAGCAGGGGAGGATTTCCACTTTGGGCGCCCCGAGGTGCAGAGGCTCAGAGCCCCGCTACCCCCGCAGTGGCTGGGAGCTGTGGAGTGCCTCTGCCGCCCACGGCGGCTTGGAGCTCCCACCCCGCTGCCTGCAGTGGCCGGGAGCTGTGGGGTACCCCCGCTACCTGGAGGCAGCCAGGAGCTTCCTGCAGTGGCTTGGAGCTCCTAATGACAGTGGGTGGTGGGGGAACCCTACCACTTTTAACTTTTGGTGCCCCACTGCCGAGCACCCCTCCATCCACAGCCTCCCCACTGTCCAGCGCCCCCCACATAGTCCCACCACAACTTTCCAGTGCCCCACACAGACCCTCCACTGCCCAGGGCCCCAACACACACAGACCTCCCCCACCCCTACGAACCCCCCACTGCCCAGAGCCCCCCCACAAATACCCCCAGAGACTCACTCTCCTAAGCCCTGCCCCCTGGCTGTACTCACTGGCCCTGCTGGTAGGTGACTCTGTTCACCGGGCTGAGCAAGAAGTGCTCCAACAGGACTACATGGGGCTGTCTCCCCCTCAGCTGGCCTTGCCCCCTGCCGGGACCCGGGAGTGGCAAAATTTGAATTTTTATGCACCCCTAGAATGCCAGCACGCCTAGGCACGTGCCTACTGTGCCTAATGGGAAATCCGGCCCTGGTACCAGGTAATTATTTCCTCAGGAAAATAAATTCCTTATCAAAAACAGAAAAAAGAAGAGGACTGATATCAATTTACATACTTGATGTTGTTGATGTCTGTGTACCAACGTCCGTCAAATCCAGGTTTAGGTTTTATTTGTTTTTCTTTCTTTTTCTCCTGCTTTTCTTGTATTTTTTTTAGGGCCTCTTCTTTTTCTCTGGCCCTTTGGAGAAGGTAAACCTGTTCCTGGTCTCTAATTTGCTTCTCTACTTGTCGATAGTTCTGCAATGCCTGAATCCTCTCGGAACGTTCTATTTCTTTACTATCCAACCACTTCTCAAAAGAGCAAAAAAAAAAAAAAAAAAAAAAAAAAAAAACCAAATAAAAAATATAAAATTGGCAAAAATTGAAAACCTCACATGCAAATCAATAAATCCATCAAGCACTGGGTTAATTTTGATTATATCAGCTTTAATATACAAATGGAGAATCTACAAGACTTCCAATAACTTCTTAGTATTATGTAAATTAGGCTACAGCAGAAACATTTAAGATTGTAATTAATACATTGTTCATGCTGTCAGAGTATCTTAACTGGTTCAATGCATGTAGTATACTATTGAAAATACTGTAAACACTTGTATATGTGCTGACTTTCTGACATTTTAGGAAGAGTTAAAGACTCCACTTATATATGATTCAGTATGGCCTGGAGTGCCCAAACCTCATCTAGTAGAAGGGAATTGCCCCCAGAGAGATGCTGGTCTCCAGGGTGCCGGAAAAAGTGCTCAAGTTCTACAGTCAATAGAGTTTAAGCCTGGATGAGTTTCATCTTCAGCCATCTAGGGAGTTAGCTAGAAACATTATGAGGGACCAGCATCTAACTGTAGCATCTAACTGCGGCAAGTCTTCTGGTACTGTATATTTCTGTATATAAAATCCTGAGCTTATATGTGGATTGTAATGACTTTTCTCCTGAAACTGTGGTTGTGGGTAGGGAGGTCTGCTTATATTTATGTTATCCTATCTGGGAGTCTATACCGTAATTCCTGCTGTTGCTTAGAGTACCCATCTCATATGTGGTGTGATCCAATTTACGTCAGTTATAATCTTTCTACTGATTTCAAAAGGATTTTACAGAAGTTTTATATTTCTGGTACTATCAATCCAGCACTTTCCTCATGCACGAAAATCAGCTAAAAATATACTGTTCTTTTACACAAAAATTAGAACCCTTTAGTATGTTTTCCCTCCTCAGAGTTAGAATTTTCTTTGAAAGGAAAAATCAAGACTTCATTCAAAGATCTCTGATAAAAACATAAAAGATAGCCAAAATATATTTTGGCTAAGCCATTATCATAACTGTGTTATTTATCAATATCAGTTCTCCTTTATGGGAGCATTTAATTTCTTATGGACAACAAGTAGGGCATTCCTATCACAAGCAGTAATTTTGTTTTGTATTACTGTGTTCAGTGAACAATTCTGACTCCAAGCATTAAGGAGGAATGTATCACTTTTAGATACTCATTTGGATCCAAATCCGTTAAAAAAAACACCATACTTTTAATTGATGAAGAGTTGCCACCACAAACTGTCTGTAACCTTCAAACTCAGTGCATGGATTCCCCACCAGAAAGAGTTCTTTAAGATGTATGTTATGTTTTAGAATTTCAATACTGGACAGTTCTCCAATGAAATTTGCTGTCAGGTCAAGTTTCTGCAGTTCTTCACATCCTGTATGGAAAAATATATTCTTATTCACCTTGCATATCATACACACACACACACACACACACACACACACAAACTTGTTACCTCTATCTCATTTACACAAATACACACACCATATGTTGCGTTTCAGAACCAGATTTGGGAGAATAATTCATAACTAATAATTTTGATTTCTATCTACATTTGTTTCTTTCATATTTCATTTAGTTTCTTTTTAAAACAAATGTTTTAAATGTGTGTGAAATGGCAGAAGTTTCAGTAAAAGTCACAATTCATGAAAAAAACTATAAAAAGTATTGCTAGTTGGATTACTATTAAATCTTTTTGTGGTACATTTATTCAGACTCACATTTAGAGATGGGTTGGTTGAGACTGGTTACAAAAGTCACACGACATTGGCTCTGGTTCCTTGATTGGATGAACCTGCTCAGTGTGGTTACAAGAAGCCATTCTGACTCATTTTTTCAGAGGGAGAGGCTGAATTTTGTGTGCCCTAACTGAAGCAGTCAGAAAAAAGCTCCTAATGGCTGTGGCAAGGACCAGACCTATCAGTATCCTTTGAAGCTCTGCATAGTTTCTAATTTCAGAATGAACTGTTTAGTCCCAAAACACACACTCACATACTTTCTTAGGAGGGCAGGGCCAATTACAAATTATATTACTGTAAAATGTTACTCTTAGCTGATACTACTCATGTCTAAGAACAATGAGTCATATATATACACTCTAAGAAAAGTTGGACTTCTGTCACAACTTATGAATTCATTAATTGTCATGCATATTTTAACTTACTGACTTTCACTGGTATTTTGCTTGAGTGAGCTGATGTGAAAGTGCAAATGTTGGTGAACAGTTGAGCAAACTTCATTGAGACTGAAAAAAATCTTCATTGTAAATTGAAACTCTGGACTGTATAACAAAAAGTTCACAGGGAACACTACGGTGGCAAAGTGAACCAGAACAGCGTAATATCATACTCCTGGGGGAATTCTATGCCCAAAAATGCAAAATTCTGCACCAAAAATGCAAAATTCTGCATATTTTATTTGTCAAAATAATGCAGTATAATGACACCAGTTTCACTTATTTTGGTAGTTTATTTAAACTACCATAAAGAAAAAAAATCACAATAACTGTTCACTATTTCCTAAACACATGAAAGTTAAGTTACAAATACTTGGTAACTAAGACCCTGCATTCCAGTTATAATCCTGGATTTTTATTTAAATCACATTACTTTTATTTTGATGTTTGGTGTTCTGTAAAGTAGAATGTCACTTTAAATTGTTCAGACTTTCACACAAGAAAGTCATGCAGTTTTGCTAATCATTGTCCTGCATTTTTTAAAGTGGATAAGTAAAATAGATCCTGAGCTGTAATCTAACCCCGTTGTGCCTCTCTGGCACAGGAAAAAAGCGAGAAAGCCCATAGACTTTCCTAGCTGAGGATTCCGTTACTGTCATTTACAATAAGGCTCCTTTACACCACTCTGGCAAGGTAAAGGAGCCTTAATTGACTAAGAATGGGAACATTAACTAACAATGGGCACATGAGCAGCCTGCCTGTTTAGCTGTTACCTTTCTGCTCTGCCTCAGGGACAGAGCCTGCTTCACACAGCCCTACGCCTCCAAGCCCAGGATGCAGCAACAGCGAAGAGAGGAACACAGTGAGGCTATGTCTACACTACTGCGGTACGTCGACCTATGCTACGCAACTCCAGCCACGTGAATAACATAGCGAGAGTCGACGTCAGGGCTGGCTCCAGGCACCAGCTAAGGAAGCAAGTGCTTGGGGCAGCCAATACAAAGGGGCGGTACTCCGTCCGCTATTGGGGCGGCACGTCCAGATCTTCGGCGGGAATTCGGCAGCAGGTCCCTCAGTCCCTCTCTTCCTCTTTGAACTGCCGCCAAAGTGCCGTCGAAGAGGAAGAGAGGGAGTTAAGGACCTGCCGCCGAACTGCCGCCGAAGAATGGAGCGGCGCGATTGAGCTGCCGCTGAAGTGCTGCCGATTGGCGCTTTTTTTTTTTTCCCCACCGCTTGGAGCAGCAGAAAACCTGGAGCCAGCCCTGGTCGACGTATCTTAGGTCAAGTTACCGCGGGGTCTCCACCGCGCGAGGTCGACAGGAGAAAATGTTCTTATGTTCTTCTTGTTGGGGGTAGAGTACGGGGTCGACTGGAGAGTGATCTGCAGTCGATTTGGCGGGCCTTTACTAGACCTGCTAAATCGACCACCGGTGGATCGATCTCAGAGCGTCGGTCCCGGCTGTAGTGTAGACCTGCCCTGAGTCTCTCTCACTCATTCACGTGCAGGCAGGCAGGCGCCCAGTCCCACCCCCTTAACGATTCTCCATGGATGAACACATGCACGCCCAGCCTTCCACCTTTCCCCTGCGGTAATTGGCTCTCTGCTGCTGGCTGCACCCAGCAGATGTGCCTGGGTTGCCGCGGAAGGGGCGTGTGTTCCCCACAGATTTCTTGGCTCCCCCATTTTTCTGCGGGGGAGCCAAAAAATCTGCAGAAGTTATGAATTCTGCACCCCCCGCAGGGTGCAGAATTCCCCCAGGAGTAAATATCAGTGGGAACTTCAAATCCCCAATGGACCATGAGGTTTCCTCCTCCACTGTTCTTGCTGATTACAATAAATATGGATGAAGCTAAATTATTTGAATTATATGTTAAAAAAAGTTCCCAGACTCCCCTTTCACCATGATCACCCCAGGACAGAATCACAACTCTCACTGTAAGAGTAAAAATACAAGCTCAGTTACTATGCTCATAATTATAACCAAATCTAAAGAGGGCAACTAATATTTCCTTGTGAATCTGTTATTTGACAAGCATTTTGAGTGTGATGGAGCTGGAAGAGAATAAACAACTCAATAATGATTTATTAAGGGATTTAAATAGGCAAAAATTTTGCATACCAAAGGTTCTGGTTTGTAAGTAAATGACATATTACATTAATAAATATTACAACTTGATAGAGGAGCTTAAAATTTACAGGAATAAAATAGATACAAGTTTCTGAACAAACTGCTAAACATGTAATTTACTACCTATTTCTTTAATTTTTCCAGACATCTCTTTAACCTGTTTGAGAAACTTTGTTTGTTTCCATTTGTTTAATCTTTTAAGCAATTCCAGTTTGTTGATTTTTTTCCTCAGAAGACAGAACCTGAAATCTTCACATCCCTTTGTCACTTTATCCTTTTCATAAAAGATGACCATACTATAGTGACTGGACTACTGGAAATCAATACAGGGAAGAACTCAAGATAGAAGTGATTCTACTGATAAGGGATGTATTTATAGGCAATTTTATGACTTAGAATTTGATAATTTGATCTTGCAAGATGCGGAATATCATCAGTGCCCAATGAGGTTAATGGAGTAGAGACATGTGATCTGGGAAATGACTATCCTTAAATTAGTACAGGTGGGAATAAGACAGACCAAATGTTTATGTAATAATGGAACAGAATCTCCTGAAATGCTCCATAAACCACTCCATGGGGAAAAGGCCACCATATATGGTCAATAAGCATGGAAGTCCTACCTCTGTGAGACTCAGTTGACTGCTGAAGTAAAGAAGTCTGCTGAGACAATAAAGCCTTTTAAAGCCTATGTAGGACTTTTTAAAAGGATTTAAAAAGCCACATTGCTATAATTATTCTGTTTCAGTAATATATTTATCTTTTTGGCAAGCATATACCAATACCATATGGATGACCCAAGTTCAGGAATGGTTTTTGAATTCCCTCTGTGCAGGATATTAAAGACTAAAGCTGTCACAATTGCCTACTTTGGAAAAGGGGTGCAAGGAAGAGTGAAAGCTGAAATGTTTTAGTGAACCTCTGCAAAGACATGAACAGAAACTATTGTTTGCTATAGGTAAGTACCATAGGTACTAGCTACTTGTAACAACATACAAAAAATGCACAAAATGCATGTCTGAGTAACTACAAATTACCTTAGTTGGTGGGTATATTTGATAATCTACATTCTCCTTTACTTTCATACTCCACACTTATGCATCAATATGAAAAGGGAAAAGATTGCATTAAAAAACTTACCTTCCAAATTTTCAATTCTTTCAATGTTGTTCAAAGCTAAATTTAAATATTCAAGCTTCTTTAGTTTGCTTACATTTTCTGCAATAAACATATATATTTTATTTCAATTCTATCCACAAGGAAAGGCATAACATTTTTAACTCTGTTTTATTGTTTAATTTATTTCTGAAACAAATTAAATTATGTGCAAAGTGGGAGATTCACAACAGAATAAATATAAAAATATAGCAAATATTAACATTTTAATGCACAGAAAGTAATTGCTTTGGACAGAAAACAAAACATTTATCCTGGAGAGTGTAATAAAAATCAAATAGCAAAGACAATGAACACAGACATCTATTCGGCTGTTTAATCATTCGAAGATTAAAGGCTTGGTCCAAAGGCCCACTGAAACAATGGAAAGATTCCCACTCACTTTAAACTATGGATCAGGCCCGTACTGCCCACTCCTGCTCTCTGAAATTAGTGGGAGTTTTGTCATTGACTTCAATGGGCACAAGAGTGGCCCCCTTAACCTATATGTATACAGGGGAGTCTCATCTTACGCTGGGGTTACGTTCCGCGGTTAGTGCGTAAAGCGAAAACCGCGTATAGTCAAAATTACATTGAGTTGAATGGCGGGCGGAATCGCCCGCACTACAGGTACAGTATTAAAATTGTTATTTTTCTCTTTTTTTGTTTTTGTTTTTTGTTTTTGCCGACCGCATAAAGCTGAAATTGCGCATGTTAAATGCGTGTAAGATGCGACAGACCTGTATACTTTTCAGGATGTTTCTTGTTTGTAGGCTTTGAAAGATTAATATAACCCACTTTGAGAATGCAAAAGTCCATATTATACCATACCCGGAGAATTAAGATTGTTTGTAAATAATTCCTAGGCCTGCCCCTTAAGTAATGTAACCATGATTACCTTCCCATTTAGGTTTTGTTCATAAAACGGCATGACAACAGACTGCCAAGAAACTGGTCTGGGAAGCTGCCTTTTGCCATTTCTTTTGTGGCATCTCAACTTTCTGAACTGGCTACACTTGATGCTTCCAAAGGTCTTTATTTAGATCTGTGATGCTGTGGGCTATGGGTGAGGAAGTTAGGACTCATGGAATGAGATTTTCTCTTGGGATTAAGTTCGTGTACATAACTAAACAGTAGTGACCATTTACTGATACTCACAGACACCTACTGGCCATTTCCTTTTGTGAATGTACCAATGACCTGGAAACAAATCAGTCACAAGAACATACAATTTTGCTAAAAATAATAATGGTGACCGCGATAGCAATTATATTCAAAGTAGGCTGCTTGTCCTCCATGACACTGGAAACTAAACCTGCAAAAAGCACAGTCATTTTGTAAAGCAAAAGGTCTAGTCATTTCACTAATGTGTTTTGTAGTTGCTGTACTTGGTCATTTGATAAAATATGTACTGAAGTAAGTTAATTGTTTATCCACGGAAAATTCTACACCTCACAGTGCATTAGCTAGCTTTTATAATGTAGGATGCTTGTGTGGTTGCAGATTTAGCTTCAAAACCTTCTCAAGTAATTTAGCAAAACTAGTTTGAAATAGGATAGCTTATTTCACACATTATATGGGGACCTGCCATGGAGTAAGAAGATGAAGAAATTTCATTTTAATGTTTCTACTAGAATCTACAGGAGACTAGCCTGAATAAGTACTTCTAGAATTGTTTAATGTGATAGTGATTCAGGAAGCTGAGATGCTACCCAGGACGTGGAGAACGGAGCTCAGACATGTAATGCTGATGGCAATAGATTCCTAGCACATGTCCAGACAGATGGTGCTCAGAAAGAAGTTTAGCTTTATGAGTTTAAGAACAAAAGCTGAAGAACCAGGGGGGAAATAGAATTATAGCATCCTGCTGACCTGGAGATGATCATTCTTTGTGTCAAAAGCATTCACAGCACAGATGCCAAGATTTCAAGGCCATATCTGAGAATCTTTCCTTGACTCTAAATTATGTCCCATTTAGGTGAGAGAAGTTGTAACAGCCCTCGAGACTCTAGAGACTTTTTTTGCAGCAAAGTACTGTGTAATCTCTGTAAGTCATTTGTA